GTACATTCATTCCTATACGCTATCACTCCGCTCGACGCGTGGGTGTACTGGTTAGATTAACGATTGCTCACGTATCCAGAAAGTAGAAATGTAATTGGACCTCGAAAAAACTTCTCTGGAATGGATATCAATACAGTATCCAATCAGATTATCTGTAACATTTGCAAGTTCTCTTGGAGTGATATCAATATATATCCAATTAGTTTGTCCGTAGCATTTGCAAGTTCAGCTACTTTGAAAACATTACTCCAATATGGCTTCACCCACCTGCATGTTCAATGTCGACGGAATAAAGCCATTTCAGTATGACGTGGCACAGTTAAAGGTAACACTCTAATGAAAGGAAAAGGTGTGATTTTGACTGTAAAGAAGGGTGCAGGGAAATCTATCGTAATATGTTCCACCCCTTTCAACCGATATAAGTCGACAACAATTCATCCGTCGATTTTCACGTTGTCGATCTTGGTTACAATATCTGAGCAAATTACATCATTCCACAATCTCTCTTTTTAGCTCATTAGCGCAAAAATACCATATAGTGCAATGTCCCGAGACCCACAAAGTGCTAATAACGCGTCCGTTTAGTAAGAGTGTCTGTCTTTCTGTAAGAAACACAATGTACATTTCATGAGCGCAGCCATGTTTGGAAAGTTCCGGAACATAACATTCATGATGTATGTACCTCAGGAACTCACGTCTTTAAATGACCTTAGCTGTTTATAACTGTTTATAGGACGTTAAACAACATAAAACCAAATCAAATCAAATCGCAGTAACTGAAGAATTCATACTGTCAATCTTTTGTGTCGAAAGCTTTCATTTGTCAATGCTCCCACGGGCTGAGTGATGATGTTATATGGTTATACATGTACCATTGGGAAACGACGATGACCATACACTGCATGCATTTTTTCCCTCCTACTTATATGTGCGAAGTTCATTGTTTTCACTGTTCATTCTTTTCAAATTAGCTTTTATTTTACAACAATCATAAAACAAGTTTCCAGATCTTATAGTTATCACTCTTGTTGGCTCGGATGGTAGCGCGTTGGGATCTTAATACGAACAATGTACTTTCGACTCGTGCTCTTTTACGTCGTCGTTAGTAGGATAGTGTATAAGTATATAACCGTATATGTGTTATAGTAGGATAGTGTGTAAGTATATAACCGTATATGTGTTATAGTAGGATAGTGTGTAAGTATATAACGTATCTGTGTTATAGTAGGATAGTGTGTAAGTATATAACCGTATGTGTGTTATAGTAGGATAGTGTGTAAGTATATAACCGTGTATGTGTTATAGTAGGATAGTGTGTAAGCATATAAAGTATCTGTGTTATAGTAGGATAGTGTGTTAGTATATAACCGTATATGTGTTATAGTAGGATAGTGTGTACGTATATAACCGTATATGTGTTATCGTAGGATAGTGTGTAAGTATATAACCGTATATGTGTTAAGTAGGATAGTGTGTAAGTATATAACCGTGTCTGTGTTATAGTAGGATAGTGTGTAAGTATAGAACCGTGTATGTGTTATAGTAGGATAGTGTGTTAGTATATAACCGTGTATGTGTTATAGTAGGATAGTGTGTTAGTATATAACCGTGTATGTGTTATAGTAGGATAGTGTATAAGTATATAACCGTATATGAGTTATAGTAGGATAGTGTGTACATATATAACCGTATATGTGTTATAGTAGGATAGTGTGTACGTATATAACCGTATATGAGTTATAGTAGGATAGTGTGTACGTATATAACCGTATATGAGTTATAGTAGGATAGTGTGTAAGTATATAACCGTATATGTGTTAAGTAGGATAGTGTGTAAGTATATAACCGTGTATGTGTTATATTAGGATAGTGTATAAGTATATAACCGTATATGAGTTATAGTAGGATAGTGTGTACATATATAACCGTATATGTGTTATAGTAGGATAGTGTGTACGTATATAACCGTATATGAGTTATAGTAGGATAGTGTGTAAGTATATAACCGTGGATGTGTTATAGTAGGATAGTGTGTAAGCATATAAAGTATCTGTGTTATAGTAGGATAGTGTGTTAGTATATAACCGTGTATGTGTTATAGTAGGATGGTGTGTAAGTATATAACCGTGTATGTGTTATATTAGGATAGTGTATAAGTATATAACCGTATATGAGTTATAGTAGGATAGTGTGTAAGTATATAACCCTATATGTGTTATAGAAGGATAGTGTGTAAGTATATAACCGTGTATGTGTTATATTAGGATAGTGTATAAGTATATAACCGTGTATGTGTTATAGTAGGATAGTGTGTTAGTATATAACCGTGTATGTGTTATAGTAGGATAGCGTGTAAGTATATAACCGTGTATGTGTTATAGTAGTATAGTGTGTAAGTATATAACCGTATATGTGTTAAGTAGGATAGTGTGTAAGTATATAACCGTGTCTGTGTTATAGTAGGATAGTGTGTAAGTATAGAACCGTGTATGTGTTATAGTAGGATAGTGTGTTAGTATATAACCGTGTATGTGTTATAGTAGGATAGTGTATAAGTATATAACCGTATATGAGTTATAGTAGGATAGTGTGTACGTATATAACCGTATATGTGTTATAGTAGGATAGTGTGTAAGTATATAACCGTATATGTGTTATAGTAGGATAGTTTATAAGTATATAACCGTGTATGTGTTATAGTGGGATAGTGTGTTAGTATATAACCGCATATGTGTTATAGTAGGATAGTGTGTAAGTATATAACCGTGTATGTGTTATAGTAGGATGGTGTGTAAGTATATAACCGTGTATATGTTATAGTAGGATAGTGTGAAAGTATATAACCGTATATGTGTTATAGTAGGATAGTGTGTAAGTATAGAACCGTGTGTGCGTTATAGTAGGATAGTGTGGAAGTATATAACCGTGTATGCGTTATAGTAGGACAGTGTGTAAGTATATAACCACGTATGTGTTATAGTAGGATGGTGTGTAAGTATATAACGTATCTGTGTTATAGAAGGATAGTGTTTAAGTATATAACCGCGTAAGTGTTATAGTAGGATAGTGTGCAAGTATATAACCGTGTATGAGTTATATTAGGATAGTGTTTAAGTATATAACCGCGTAAGTGTTATAGTAGGATAGTGGGTAAGTATATAACCGTGTGTGGGTTATAGTAGGATAGTGTGCAAGTATATAACCGTGTATGCGTTATAGTAGGACAGTGTGTAAGTATATAACCACGTATGTGTTATAGTAGGATGGTGTGTAAGTATATACACGGTTATATACTTATACACTATCCTACGATAACACATACACGGTTATAGTAGGATAGTGTGTAACTATATCACGTATCTGTGTTAAAGTAGTATAGTGTGTAAGTATATAACCACGTATGTGTTATAGTAGGATGGTCCCCCAGTATATAACCGTGTATATGTTATAGTAGGATAGTGTGTAAGTATATAACCGTGTATGTGTTATATTAGGATAGTGTATAAGTATATAACCGCGTATGTGTTATAGTAGGATAGTGTTTAAGTATATAACCGTGTATGTGTTATAGTAGGATATTGTGTAAGTATATAACCGTGTATGCGTTATAGTAGGACAGTGTGTAAGTATATAACCGTATATGTGTTATATTAGGATAGTGTATAAGTATATAACCGTGTATGTGTTATAGTAGGATAGTGTGTAAGTATATAATCGTATATGTGTTATAGTAGGATAGTGTGTAAGTATATAACCGTATATATGTATTATATTACGATAGCGTGTAAGTCTTCCAGCGGTACTACGTTATATTCCGATAGTGTGTAAGTATAATAGTTCACGATAGTTTGGATTTCCCTGTCTGTCTGTCTGTCTGTCATTGGTTCCATACGGGTATTTTGATAATTATTGATTTCACTCGAGGAGGGAGGGTGGGGCGATGGAAGTTATTGTGCTGTGATTAAGGACTCTTTCGTTTAAAATACGTTTTTGATTTTTCGTTCCTAATCGAAATATATTTTAGTTTTAAAGAAAGAAATAAAGATCATAATCAAAATCCGTACTGTAGTCTTTGATATAGTCATGTATTTTCCTCTAGGGACAAGGCCATGATCTCCCGGCGATACTTATCCAGGTTGTTGTCCAGGATTAACCGAAGCCATCCTTCTCCAGTTGCGCCATGATGGTTATCAACACAATGTTTTTTGTTAATTCTTTGCTCGAACGATAACAGCATTGTTGTGCGTCATTTTGTGACGGGGAACAAGTAGGCCAACAGGTTCACGAGACATCCAATAGGCTGTCAATTTGTAAGGTTCTTTTACAATTCTACATTACGTGTGCAATTCTTTTGAGGATGTTTTTTTTTTCCAAAATGAATTTACTATTCAATTACGAATATCCATCTAGAATCTTATAGTATCAGCTTGATATGTCAAGCGGCAAATTTTGAAAACAAATCGGACGTTAAGAAAATGTGATTTTAATATTGTGCTTAAAACATTGTTCACGTTGTCACCGAGTAATATGCAGCTACACAGTGTAAGCTGTACGCGGACCTAGGCAATGTAACTTCGAGTTACCTCCCTTTACTCACAATGTAAATGTACACAAAAAAATCACTGACGTAAGTTTTATTTTTGAAGGTTTTTAATCAAATGTACAATTTTAAATAAAAAAAAGTATGAGAATATTCCATCGGGGTTTGAAATATGAGGTTATGTAGACAGATTATGCATTTGACATTCCAAATTATTATAGACAGACAGGATGTCTTGTTTGTCCAGAGGATGTACAATTTGTTATATGTATATAATTTACATTCATGTAGTTATGGTACAAAAATAGATAGATATGCACAGGAACATTTTGAACAACTTTTGAAGGCAACATGGCTTGATTTGTCAATATGGGAATTACATTTATTTTTGTCCTAAAAATTAGATATAATCTTCGCCAGAAACGACGGCTTTGTTTATTTGATATAGTTGGTGTTAGTCATCATACTTCTTTATTTTAATATAAACATATATACTTTTCAAATAGAATGACTGTACATGTTTAAGAGCTCAATAGCCCCTATCCTAAATACATTGTATTTTCGATTAAATTCCCCACGTTTAACGACATCATTAGAATTAAACTTATAGGTAATTTTACACACAAAAACGTACAGGTATTTTAGATGAAGAGAACAATATTTTAATAGACATCTTAGTGACGCTCACATTAAAACTAAGTGGACGGTCGGACGGGTTACATTATATATTAAAACGCGAAAACAAACGGCAACTACAGCCGAAATTTAACTAAATATCATTACTTAACGCCGAACTGAAAGATTGGCCAGCCGAACTGTTACATACTCGTAGTACCGTTGCTGGCGTCCGAACTGTTACATACTTGTAGTACCGTTACTGGCGTCCGAACTGTTACATACTCGTAGTACCGTTCATGGCGTCCGAACTGTTACATACTCGGAGTACCGTTCATGGCGTCCGAACTGTTACATACTCGTAGTACCGTTCATGGCGTCCGAACTGTTCCATACTAAAGTTACAGACGAACGTTAAAACCATTCTGTTTCAGACGGACGCTACATACACAGTAGACCTGTGACAGACTGACGCTACTGCGGAACTGTTATATATATAAACAGACGTTATTACATAATGGTGACAGACGAACGTTACTGTGGAACTGTTACAGACGGACATCACTGCAGAACTGTTACACATATAGACAGACTTTATTACGGAATTGTGAGTGACGAACGTTACTGTGGCACTGTTACAGACGGACATTACTGAAGAACTGTCGAGACTAACTTTCTTATGGAACTGTTACAGACGAACTTAACTGCGGACAGGTTATAGACGAACTTTTCTGTGGAACTGTTGTAGGTAAACTTAACTGTGGAACTGTTACAGACGAACTTAACTACGTAACTGTTATAAACGAACTTAACTGTGGAACTGTTAGAGTCGAACTTTACGGCGGAACAGTTATAGACGAACTTTATTGCGGAACTGTTATAGACGAACTTTACTGCGGAGCTCTTACAGACGAACTTTACTGCGGAACTGTTAAAGACGAACTTTACTGCGGAGCTGTAACAGACGATCTTTACTGCGGAACTGTTGTAGACGAACTTTTCTGTGGAACAGTAACAGACAACGTTCATGGTTCGGAACTGTATAGATGAAAATTACTACCGATTGTTACATGGGAAGGATACTGCTTATTGATATGCGATATGCTCTTCAACAAAAAATGCGTCGTTCGCTCTCGTTTCATTATTCCCTTTAGCATCTGGTCTTAACAAGCTCATTACGTCTGGATACAAAGACTGAGAGGCCCACTCTGTCTGCTCTCATTTAGCCTACTCTCTTGACAAAACAAAACGGAAAGTGCTTGAGATTCAAGAATACACGTGGACCGTGGTAATTGTACCGAGGTCGTGACATAGTGTGTGTGACGTCACCACTAATATGATCGTCTTCACAGAATAATTAAGTTCTTGACATTGACCTCACATAAGCACTCTCCTACAAAGTACCTCCAGTTTCTCGTTGTAAGTAATTCTTTTTACAGCCCTATACAATACACGTGTAAAAAACGAAGTCGGATATGCTAGTAGGGAACACGAATATTTGCGTAATTTTTCAGTTAGTATACGAGAAAAAAATATACGTATGCTTTCTTACAACAAAGTTATTGTTGATTCAAGACATTGAAAGGTAGAAAAAACAGACTTATTTGGAGAAATGATTGCTATTCGATTTTTAGGGTACCTACCTTACCCGACATACATACGTATTCCGGGACGACTACTAAGGACAGGAAGCGCTGTAGAGTCGTTATATGTGTCAGTTAACGGTGAACTAAAACTCGTGTTGAAGTTGCAGATGTAAAATATACGGGAAGGCTATCTGAAGGCTTCCAAATAAGAAACAGATACAAAAATTTAAAACGCTGAAGTAATATTGGGGCTCATAAACGCCTTCGAAACACAACTAGTAGATACACGAAGGCCAGTGAAAAAACACAACTTCCAAATTGACTTTGGCGTGTAGTTAATTTTCTTTGGCAGTGTTATTTCACCCACACGCACTGAAACACTGCTAATCCAAGAACAATTAGGTTTACGCCTAGCTGGACCGTTCTTTCCCTTAACACTTGTGGTACACTCTGTTTAATATCCAAGTTCCCTTATACATCTTTAGACGTTAAAAAAATAATTTGTGATTTTACTTCGAGTCGTGTCGACAGCAGGTACTATATACAGCAAAGAGGTTAGAGGTGCCTCTGAAGTCTTTAATTGACACAGTTATCGCAGAACCTGAGACTCCTGAGTACAACTTAACAGTGAGGACGAGACGGAAATTCCAGCAAACATCAAACGTATCTCCTATTTATGCATTTGAAACGTTAACGTTGCCAGTTAGCAAAGGTACACGTAGTTAAAACGTAAATTTGATTAATAATGATCTAGTAATTTTAACTTAATTGTGCACAAGTTTCAGAAAAACTCGTTGTTTACGATCCCAAAATATTAGAAATCTAGCGAAGAAACATTTGAATGATTTTGACCAATGACATTGTGTTAAACTATCCCCTGCTGAGTGCACGGTACTGGTAACACGTGTGGCAACAGTGCGTGTTGATAGCCTCGGTTTCGCACACCTCGACGCCGTACTGACGTACGTATTCCCGACATGACAACATTCCAAGGGGAGTGTTCATCCGCACTGGGCGGTCACCAAACTGGCAGCCTGCAATAAAAGGTCAAGGTCGTGAGATACAGTCTAAATAGGGAAAAAAGGTCAAGGACGCTAGTGTTAGTGATAGTCTGCAACAAAGTTCAAGGTCATGTATGCCAGCAACAGTTGATATGCAAATACATGTACATGTCAATCGAACGTGATTGCAAATTAAGTACAGATACATAGAGAGTACAAATTATTCTGCATTTATACTTACAAACTTAAGGAAAACGTTTTAATGGGAACAGGGAAGCACCAGGTTGTTGAATGTTAGATCGGTAGATAGGAGACGAAGGGTCGACCAACTTGCATTAGTAGTTAGAACAACTCAATATAGCCAGAATTTGTATACTTATTCGGTCCAATTTTCTTCTTTCATTAAGCCATAATTAAGTAAATTTCCTATTTTATTAAACATACACGCCCAGCCGTAATGTAGTGGTTATACGCTATGTGTACCGATTATATTGTGTAATTAAAAGTGAATATGTTTTGTGCTAATCTGTTTGGGTATAAACCGAGTCTCTACCTCCACGATAGTTAATTGGGAACATCCACTCTGCTCATCTCGCAGGCAACAACCTTATCAACAACGTTAATTACCCGATCAGTCAGCTATGTACCACAATGAGTCATCCCACAGCCGTAAAGGTCTCGGTGATTGTATAGCTGTCAGATTTTGATAATATATCTTATCTACAGATATAATTTTAGTTTCATGGCAATTATAATACGTTTTCAACAATAATGTGATACAAATTCTAGATACACATGAAGCTAGTCCGGACACAGGTTTAAAGATATAATTTTGGTTAAGAGGCACACAAACTTATCTGGACGCCAGGTTAAGGCTTGGTTTGGAGGTATAGATAATCCGTTTAAAGATATCACTCTGGTTTAGCGACATAGCTAATCTTGGCAATGGTTTGAAGCTATCGTCATGGTTTAGAGACACAAAAAAATAATCCGGATTCCATTATATATGTACATGTATCAACCGGTTGCAATGAAACAGTTCGAATACTCAAATGTCTTCCAAATACATGGTGTCATTTCATGAGACTTATGTGACGTAATCCATTTTTGGGGGGGATTTTTAGAGTTCTTAACCAAAACGAATACAGTGATTTAGGCGAGTGATTTTTTGAGAACAGTTGATTCCTGCCATGATGCTATTCCTTACAGCTCTTAGACAAATTAACCGTTTCTTAAGCGATTCTATTTGGGTAGACACTTTTCCATTATGATTTTGCATTAACCGTATCGTTCATGCCGTTGTTATGATGAACCTGTTCTAGTTCTACCGTGTAGTGACCACCTTCAACTAATTGAAGATTTTGTCACGAAGTTGGGTTTATGCAGCACAAATGACAGACTATATATACAACATAATAATTAATAATTAATCACTTAGTTAAAGTTAAGAGAAGGAGAATTTAGTTCGAGGAGAGTCCGAGAGAGAGATCCGAGCAAGCCAGTGATTGGGCAGCCCCCACCGACAAAGCTTGTTCGGAAAAGGGGGAAAAGAAGAGAAGTGGTAAATTATTATGTACATTATATGTTCTCCGTGGTTAGCATACCTTAGATCAGTCAAACATCCTATCTGTATACCGAGTGTTCTCTACTAATGGAGCAGTGCTATTGGATTACGGATGGTCAGTGAAATGGAAGTACAATATAGTTATGTTACGCACCTGGGATGTTCACAAGTATCCTTGCCCTCAACCTTTCGCACGTGCTGCAGCACACCTGTCGGACAGACGTCTGGTAACAGTTGACGCGTAGCTGGTTGTCCTGGGTGAAGGGTTCGCACAGCTGGGGGTTCTGGTCCCCCCATTTACATGCTGTAAGTACAATGAGCACGTGTTAAAGCAGTCAGCAATCATATCGTAAGCACTATACTCAGACGGCAATACAAGATCATGGTAGTTACCAAAAATTCGAAATTTGGTGAAGTTCTCTCTTTTATATTTTTCTTCTATTTTTGCACTCTATTTTTCCATAATGCGGCGATTTGGATGGACTATATGTAATTTTGTACCCGATAAGCATAAACAGGCTCATACCATGAATAAGGGGTACAAAATGATTAATATTTAAACATGTATTATAGTGTCATGAAAAAATTGTCTTATCGCTTAAAGGGTGGTTTGTTAGGAGACAGCGCTTTTTGAGGCTATATCTGGCCACACTGTCGTTAATACTGAGTACTCACTCGTAAGACGCATTTGAATGAAAAAACAGATTGATGATTAACTCATTTGAAAATGAATCGAAAATAAACGGAGTATAGTAGGGTTGGGATCGGAGGTTACAGGAAGTAACGTACTTGGGTTTGACGTGTCCTCTAGTCTAGGACATGTCAGACAACACAGCCGCTGGTTCTCCGGAAGATAACAAAGGTGGCGCCTCTCGCTCACAATCTGACAACGAGGCGTAAGGTCTCCGTATTCGCAACCAGAAATACCTGAAATAAAGCTAATCAATGTCAATCCCTACCGCTTTGGTTTACCTGCATTTATACACGGGTCACAGTGGCATTGATCTCCATCCCATGAACAAGTTCTTAATGAATTCTAGAGAGATTTATGATGGCCATTAAAAAAGATGACCCGAGTTTTCAGTGACACTCACTATTTCAACTATGAGCAGACATGGAAGCAAGAGTAACCTAGGAGGCATAACAACGAAAAGAACTCTGGAAAAATGTTAACAAAGTTGTTCTGGAAATATAATAGATTTTAATTTCATTGGTCGGTTAATGATATTTTTACCTGATGGTCTTGGAAGGACCTTTTGTTTGTGCTACAGATCTCTAGTAATTAAGACATTACTATGAAAGACAGATTATGCAATTGAGCATCTGTACTTGGTTGAACATTATAACAAGGGGAGGTAAGGCGTACCTGTATTACGTTGTGACTCGTAGCGGCTACACGTATCACAGCAGATCTCGCGGTTTCGTTGAGCATAACAGTCGAATGGTTCCATGTTTCTACATTGGTACGACCGGTCTCCGTACTCACAGCCTGTAGGGCGATATAATCACACGTATCACACATCACACATGTTATAATACTGTCTAAAGGGGGAGATATATTTATACAAGATAATGAAATATTTCTATAACGTCAAAATAATAATTTCTTAGGACTCTTTTTTCGAATCAATAACCTTACACTTGATATTTTGTTACAGTACACATGAATTGCTTGGTAGCGTGTTCATGGTAAAACAATCTGTAATTTTGGAAATTACCAGAATGTCTAGCGTGACAACAGAATGATCCTCATTGACATGCGCACGGATATGAAAGCATACCATCCTCCGCCTACCCTCCGCTTACTGCTACCTCTGTTGCTTGCTATCTTACCTCTGCTGTTCGAACGTTTGATGGACAGACACTTCTCGCAGCAGTCACGTGACACCCGTTCGTAGTTGTAGCAGATGAAAGACCCGAGTGTATCCACTGCCCGAGTACACTCCATATTGTTGATATACACCCGGTATGTGGAGGTCGGACAGTTCTATACGGAAAGAAGACAGACACATCTTTAGCGTTGCTAACAGCAACATTACAGACGTTTTGTATGATTTATCAATAAAAAAAAAATATCGGATACTAGTATGAATAATATAGATGGACTTGTTTTTCCTTATATGTACGTGTAATAGAACATTGTGCTTGAAAGAAGGTTAGACGTTTAAAGGATGACACAATCAATCTGTAAGATGTCTGGCGGTTAGACCTGAGCATAATAGCTTATGCTGATACATGTAAATGCCTGGCGGTTAGACCTAAACATAATAGCTTTTTTCTGATATTTGTCTGGCGGTAAGACCTGAACATAATAGCTTATGCTGATAAATGCCTGGCGGTAAGACCTGAGCATAATAGGTTATGCTGATATATGCCTGGCGGTAAGACCTGGACCTAATAACTTATGCTGATATATGCCTGGCGGTAAGACCTGAACATAATAGGTTATGCTGATATTTGCCTGGCGGTAAGACCTGAACATAATAGCTTATGCTGATAAATGCCTGGCGGTAAGACCTGGACATAATAGCGTATGCTGATAAATGCCTGGCGGTAAGACCTGGACATAATAGGGTATGCTGATAAATGACTGGCGGTAAGACCTGGACATAATAGCGTATGCTGATAAAGGCCTGGCGGTAAGACCTGGACATAATAGCGTATGCTGATATATGCCTGGCGGTAAGACCTGGACATAATAGGGTATGCTGATAAATGACTGGCGGTAAGACCTGGACATAATAGCGTATGCTGATAAATGCCTGGCGGTAAGACCTGAGCATAATAGGTTATGCTAATATATGCCTGGCGGTAAGACCTGGACCTAATAACTTATGCTTATATATGCCTGGCGGTAAGACCTGAACATAATAGCTTAGGCTGATATATGCCTGGCGGTAAGACCTGAACATAATAGGTTATTCTGATATTTGCCTGGCGGTAAGACCTGAACATAATAGGTTATGCTGATATTTGCATGGCGGTAAGACCTGAACATAATAGCTTATGCTGATATTTGCCTGGCGGTAAGACCTGGACATAATAGGGTATGCTGATAAATGACTGGCGGTAAGACCTGGACATAATAGCGTATGCTGATATATGCCTGGCGGTAAGACCTGAAAATAATAGCTTATGCTGATATATGCCTGCCGGAAATACCTGGACATAATAGCTTATGCTGATATATGCCTGGCGGTTATAATTCATAAAAACACACTGTGTGCAAGATAATGGGGGTTAAAATAGTTCACTTCTCACCAGATGTCTGAAATTGAAACATAACAGAAAATTCCATTCTGTTAACAAGATCCTGCATGGTAGTTATCTACTTACAAAGTAGTTGAATAGGTCTACATGATGTGTGATGGCTGGCTCCTATGTACAATGGGACACGTGTTGGTGTCTTGTTAGACTTTAATGCTATTGAGTAGTTAATCGTGCAGTGCTAGGACCTTAACATACTGGCCAGTTCAATGACTTGCAAGGTGCTTAGTGGTTGAGCTTTAACAGCTTAGTTCATTGTGCTTGCAAGCTGTTTGGCGTTAGCATCTTATAACAACACCTCGTTTGAATGATTCTGGTGGTTTGACCTTAACAGAAAAGTATACTCTGTTTAAAGGATAGTTGGACCAAGTTTGATAAACTGATGTAAGACATGATAGTTGGGTCTTGTAAATAATTACACACGAATCTACAAGATATCTTCTTGTTAAACTAGGATATTGCATTGCAGAGTAGTAAGCTGTGCAAGCAATACAATTCACTACACTTGCAAAATGCCTATGGGCTTGTCGTCAGCAGAAACGTACATTTTGTTTGCAATGTGTTTCTTGGTTTGACTTTACCAGAATAGTACACTGTTCTTGCAATACGTCTCAAAAATACTGCAGATTGCATCTGGTCCCAAATGACTATTCTAAAATAAAGTACACATAATTGCTGTATTTGTTCTGTAGGCGAGAATATAAATCGTTCCGTGAACAGTTCTGCCACAACAACAAATCCTAACGTATCAATTGTTACCCTTACTTATATGTTACTATGGCGACAGTCGATACGTCAGTATATATATATATAGTACAGGTGTCCCTTAACGTCATTCTGCAAGGAGGTTCCGAACAGACACATAACAGATTCATCGTAAAGCTGACCTTTGATGCGAACTGATTTAAAGGTCATCTTTGAACTATTGGAAATGGATGTCAGCTGCCAAATGTCATAGGTTCAGCTGATATATCTCGGTATATGTATATAGAAAAGCATTGTGTAGGAGGTATGGAAACCTGCTGATTACACATTCTAGGATCACGGAATGATATGTATTGTATGTAGTTTTTTTCTTTACATTTCTCACTTTAAAGAAAAGAACGTCTCTGAATAACACTTGGAATAGGAAGTAAGACAACACATGCTAACAAACTGAACAAGCCATAGCAGACAACTAAACAAGAGAACCAATGTTACTACACCATATTGCTTTTTCATCCGTTTTCGATTCATCAGTGTTATTAAAGGACAAAAGAGAATAAAATCTCCCCGACTCAAGTGTTCATAGAGGAATGTAGATTACAGCGAAATGGTGTCTATAAAACACAATGGTAACTTTTCACTGCAAACAGGTCTTACATAGACTGTTTTCTTTCTATGTATTCTTCAAAGTCATATGTTTTGGAATAATTTAGATGCATTCGTTTGGTCTTGAGTACCACTGATGAACCCTAAATGAATACAATATCCATACGGTGCAGTGAAATGTTTATTTTGTTTTGCTTTCTACATCTACAAACAAGCTTTGTTTTGTTAAAAAGCTCAAAATTGTGTTGATATTAATTGGTCAGACGCAAATCTTTAAATATCAATTAAGCTTACCGGATCGTCAGAAATGACTCCAGTGTTGGGAACTGCACTGGTGCCAGAAACGTACCCGCCTCTGTTTGGGTACCGTCTGCTGTTGGATGTGGTGTATTGTCGGTTGTTGTTGGTGTTGAGATTGAAGACCTGTCCCAGGGTGCCATATCCGCCTCCTTGTCGGGCCCCCGTTGTGTAGGTAGTACCTGTCTGGTACGGACGGTACGTCTGTGTTTGAGTTGTACGTGTCTCGGTCGAGTAGGACGTGCCCGTGCGTGTCGGGTGCTGGGTTTGATACGGGGAAGTCTGAGTACCTGATTCCGATTCCTGATACACAGGCGTATTGCTCCGCACCCTGGTTGGCTGGGTGCCTGTGTTATATACAGGATTCTGGCTCTGTCCAGGGTTTGTCCGGATCCGACTGTTGTAGTTATAACTCGTCTCTCCCTGCGTGGTTTGACCATGACCACGGCGCCCCTGCATGGTTTGGCCATGACCCCGGCGCCCTTGGGTCGTTTGGCCATGATCACGGCGCCCCTGGGTCGTTTGGCCATGTGTCTGAGCTGTTTGACTGTGACTCGTCTGTGTTCGTGAACTCTGTCCTCGAGTCGGTGTTCTAGAGTTGTAAGGATACTGAACTTGTACCTCAGAATTATACTGCGTCGAATCTACTTCCTCGTTTCCGGTCCCAAGCTCTTCATTGGTTCCTATCCGTTGTGCTGTTCCTTCACGTGTGACGTAATACTGTGTTACAGTTGTTCTACTGTCGTCTCCGGTCTGCGTACCTTGATCTCTGGTAGTAGCCGTATGTCCGGTTGAAGCGTGTGTGTTAGGAGTATACGTACTCTCTCCGAGTTCTGCATGAACATCATAGTTTGCGGTGTTGAATACCATTCTAGTTCTAATTTCGTCGTCCACTTGATCTCTTCTCGAAGCAGTTTGGTGTGAATCGGAAGTGTCGAAGCTTGCTCCGCCATGTTGATAATCATATGAAGCCTGGCCGCTACGCCCACTTGGAACAGAACCAGAGTGCTGCGTCATTGGGAGTGGCTGACAAAAGAAAAACAAAAAAACATTAAGGAATTGTATACAAATACAAAAACAAATTAATGTTCAAAAACATCAACAAGATGACTAGGAGAAACATAATCAAACATAAGAAATAAGTATGATGTATATGACAAATTAATTTCAAACATATATAAATGTATATTTTTGTCAAAATGAGTCCTGATCAGTTATTGCTAAGTCTAAGCTATAAATAAAAGCATTCCAATGATATTGTCAGATACCCCTGTTTGATTTCATATCAATGCTCTGTTTTCTTTATAAACATTCATCAAACACGGTCTGCATGACAAATAGTTGCGATTGTAACGATTACTTCTTCAGCACTGTACAGGACTTTACCTAGGAGTAAATAAAATAAGTTACGTTTAAAAATCACTTCTCATTCCCCTTTGTTCAAAGAGCGTTCATTTCAAACTTCTCTTCAGATGTGAAAAATTGATATATTGATATATTTATTTTGGCTACTAGTAGAAGCTGTTTTCCTTTTTCCCCTATAGTTTACTTTGTTGATACGTTGTATTCATCTTAACATTGTTATAATTCTTTTTTGTGTTTTACTTTAAAAAACGACGAAGAATTTATAATTTGCTATAGCTTTGATATTTTAGTATAAAGGCAGAAATGTTTTCCTTTTAAAAACTGAAATTAAAATGAAATCTGTTTTCCAGAAAATGTTGTCACAAATGATTTGTAGATAAAGGCTCATAATTAACATTGGATATGAGTCTTTGAATTGAGACTAATGAGAAAAATATCTTTTAGCTGTCAAATTATATAACGAAATATAACTCATTTATATAAACTGTTATTATTTTGATTCAAACGATGACTTACTTATGATTGCCACTTCTCAAGAAAAAATTAACTTGAAAACATTGTAAATTGATGTTGTAGGTCACTTTTGTTTTTCAAAGCGCTAGGTAAACTTGCGAATAGACAATGGTTTTAGCAGAAGGGCTAACATTAGAAGCAAGATATTAGTTGTCCTGATGATTGGTTTTTGTTTTGAATTAACATCCTTGGGAATATTATAATATATACATATACACCGGCCAGTTTGGCCTTTTCCATTTCGACTGATGGTTCCAGGGTCTCGGTGTTGTCTGGTTGTCCGCCATGGATGTTGTTTTATGACCTCCTAAACCTTTGGCGCATGGTAGATAGTGCACTGACTGATTTCCCTGAATTTAACCCTATTTCCATGTTGCTGTAGACCTTTGAATATTCACTGCAGTCGGTTTGACGTAGTCAGGAAAGTTGTCTGTGGTTGATCTCAAATAGTTTATGGTCGCTTTTTACCCGTAACTCCCGCCAGTTAGTTGCACTGAATAATAATAATAATTCGAGGTTCTTATATACCGCTTTATCACAACCTAGTTCGTAGGTCGTCTCAAAGTGGTTCACAAATTATTATCCGTGGTTAAAGGCGCCTTTGCAACCAGCCAATATCTTTTTCAACTCCCTGGGGAGCATACAGCAAGAGCTGCCATTTCGGCGCTAACAGCTAGCATTCAACAATTCTGGCGCTGCCCAACCACGTACTCATTTACAGCTGAGTAGACTTGAACAAGCGGAGTAAAATATCTTGCTCAAAGATATAACACAGTGCCGTGCCGTGACTCGAACCAGTAACATTTCGGTCACGAGCCCGGCGTCCTACCACTAGACTATCGTGCCTCCTGTGGAACCTTTTATAACCAAACATGACAGCCAACAATTCTTCCCGATCTGTTGACGTTTAAGCTTGTCTAACAAATGTAACTGGCTTCCCAATCTGCTGACGTTAAAGCTTGGCTAACATATGTAACTGGCTTCCCGGTCTGTTGACGTTGAAGCTTGGCTAACTTATGTAACTGGCTTCCCGATCAGTTGACGTTAAAGCTTGGCTAATATATGTAACTGGCTTCTCGGTCTGTTGACGTTGAAGCTTGGCTAACATATGTAATTGGCTTCCCGATCTGTTGACGTTAAAGCTTGGCTAACATATGTAACTGGCTTCCCGATCTGCTGACGTTAAAGCTTGGCTAACATATGTAACTGGCTTCCCGATCTGCTGACGTTAAAGCTTTGCTAACATATTTAACTGGTTTCCCGATCTGTTGACGTTAAAGCTTGGCTTACATGTGTAACTGGCTTCCCGATCAGTTGACGTTTAAGCTTAGCTAACTTATGTAACTGGCTTCCCGGTCCGTTGGCGTTAAAGCTTGGCTAACATATGTAACTGGCTTCCCGATCTGCTGACGTTAAAGCTTGGCTAACATATGTAACTGGCTTCCCGATCAGTTGACGTTTAAGCTTAGCTAACTTATGTAACTGGCTTCCCGTTCCGTTGGCGTTAAAGCTTGGCTAACATATGTAACTGGCTTCCCGATCAGTTGACGTTAAAGCTTGGCTTACATATGTAACTGGCTTCCCGATAAGTTGACGTTTAAGCTTGGCTAACTTATGTAACTGGCTTCCCGGTCCGTTGGCGTTAAAGCTTGGCTAACATATGTAACTGGCTTCCCGATCTGTTGACGTTTAAGCTTGGCTAACATATGTAACTGGCATCCCGGTCTGTTGGCGTTTAAGCTTGGCTAACATATGTTACTCTATTAAAGCGGTGCTTACTTCCGTTTATGAATTTTCACATTGCATGGATTTTCTCAAAACAATAATTCAAACACTTAACAGATGAACGTAATCGTTTGAGGTGGGATTTCTAATACAATGCCTTTTCGAAATAAGGCAGTTTTGTGGTAGTATGTTACTTGAGGTTCCTTTGTGACAATAATACAATATTTTGTTTGCATACGTTCCTTGTTTATTACGTTGATATTCTCTATATCTCTATTTATTATCCGACTCGTAATGTTGGTGATAGTAACAATATCAGTATGATATAGTTATGGTATACAGAAAGAGGAAACACGTGCTTCCTTACAATGTAGTACACCACTGTTACTTCAAACGATACCGTGAGGTGGGGATCGCATGCCTGCGAGTTCTACTGATTACTGTCTGTGTGTGCCTAATGTAATAATTTAAGGTATTTGCAATAAACAAATATACTACAGTTTCTCAATATACAAACAGCATATATATAATCACAAAACTACTTTTCGATAATGATCAACGATTGGATTCTGACGTCACAGTCTATTTCAGTCCGACCCGGGAGAGAAGGCGAAGGTTATGATTTAAACGATATAGACATCTTAGGTGAGAGTGATACTGACTCTATCTGAGATCGACACTCCAATTATAACGCGTTCTCTCCGGGACCGAGTTGTCTATTTCTATCAAACGGACAAATTTGTCTCCCCCTGGATCGATTAAGGACGATTTGGCTCCTGTTTTTTTCTGTTGGATTAAAAATTGACAAATACACAATATATATCAATAACGAATATGCAAGTCAGATAAATCAAATAGTGTCTATTAAGTACATACCGATAAAGACATCGTACACTCTACTGTACATAAGGCTTATAAAGTAAAACCGGTATACCAACACATAGACAGCTTATTTTAGGAATACAAAATCAAAGTTCGACGATTTCTTCAATCTAATTTGTTAATGAACATTCAAAAAACTGCCTTTCCTCCAATAGCTTAGCATATAACGATGAGCTGCAGTTGTTACTGTAGGTCTACGTTTGAAACATTTACCGTCTATCTGGAATCGTTTCCATCTGTGATATGAAAATGTGAGTTATGATAATGTTGATGAGGGAAGTCGTTACAATTTGTATAAGTAAAGTGCATGCATGTGTGTACACGACTGCACACCCCACACGTGCATCACAGGAGCAAGTGTGTACACGACTGCACACCCCACACGTGCATCACAGGAGCATGTGACAGCAGTCGAGGTCTAGGTACAGTCTAGTTATTAAGAATGGCAATCAACCTCACTTAAGAGGTCAAGAAGTTATGAGCACCTTGACAAGGTCTCTCGAACATGTTCATTCATTGACACGTTCTTGTGTGAATAGGCTTCTGAGTGCCTGTATGACTCATTCCCCGAACACCAACTCTGGAGAATTGAAAGGAGGTGTTTACATAGGAAATCCTTTGAAGTTTAGTTATAGCCCGTTTCAACTAGAATGTCAACTCATTTTGTAGATATGATACTAAAGTCAATAATAAAATGGATAAACAGGTTTTATTCATACATATAACTATAATACACATTTAATACAACACTAAGTAATAGAAAATAATCATTAAATAGTAAAAGTAACATTATATGAAAAATAAAAATAACATTATCCTTCATTTAAACCACATTGATACTAATGTCAGCAATAAAATAAAGTTTCTATTCATACATATAACAGTAATACACTTTTAATACAGCACTAAACTAAATGAAGCTGAAGTTTCTAGCACAAATCAAATTCTATATATATACCTCTTAAGTCTCTAGCTCAAAACAGCCCAAGATGCGGTTTGTACCCGTGTGTATCGCATGGCTTGTATGGGTTGAATGATGCCTTATAATTCGTTAAAGAGCACAGACTGGTTCATGTCACACATACACGGGCGTCACAGTACTATAGGAAGTAGACTATATATACTGTGGTGGCTGTTTATAAAAAGGCAAGACAATCTAGACGGTCTAACATCACACACGTCACCTATATCATGTGTTTTTTTCTTTAAAACTAGTTAATAGATCTGCCATAAGTACCGTGACGTCACATTGATGGTAGAAAAGACGTACACCCTATACAAGTATATACGGTGAAGAAATTGGTCCGATCAGCATTAATTGCAGGATATTTCTTCGGATGTTAACGTACAATGGCGAACTCATGTCCCATGGAATGTATGTAGTATAATCATTGTTGTATAGTGAGCGACGGAAGACAGTCGTACATGCTTCTGTCCGGTTGTTGAAGGATACTTTTTCAATACCCGGATCCATTTTTTTGGTAAAACATGACTGGTGCTATTTTGTGATTAATAGTTTTTGGAAATAAGCCAAACTCAACAGCAATAATCAAACATTTTTGCATTTGTTGCAATAACAACGATGTTTACTCATTCGTACCTACCGGTAAACGCCCACCGTCTGTCGTCCTCTTCTGTCGTAATGGAATGTTTTTGATATCCGCCTCTTTATTATCTGGAAATTAAAAAGTGTTTTATTTTATTATCATATAAGTTATAGGGACGTATACAATGAGGCCATATTGGTGGGACAGAACTTTTAAAAGCATATATTTAGTCATATAACCGATTTAAAGGTGTTAATCAAAGTTCAAAAGTCAAGGACACTATTATGATTATATGCAAGTTCTGCATGAAAGCTTCTCAGAAATTAATAAAACGATTTTTTGTTCAAGAACTCTCCGTTCTGAGACATGAAGCATAGTAAATTCCTTACTCAAGCACAGAGAGTGGAAAGAACAGCAGATCACATTGACAGTACATCAGAAAGGGGAATGAATCCATTTGAATTCAATTAGATATATGCTTTTACATCGTCTTAGAGCGGAAACATTCGCGGGAACACTTTTTCGAGACATGGACTTAGGTAAAGAATGTTGACTCCTCTATCTTACACGAGGTATTTTCTACTGTTCATATGAAAGTCTGTATCGATTCTCTGAAGATAATATTTTTGAATGTGACCCTTTGATTAGAACCCCTCCACCCCCCATCACAATTCTCATCAATCTTTGAATTGCCAGAAAGCCTCCAAAACGGAAACTTCTTCAAAGGCCACACCGTGGTTGCAACAAATGCTGAGGAGAATATCATTCCATCTTATGATACATGTAATATGATAATTAATCCGACATGAAATGTGTTGCATTTACATTGTTCTAATTAAACATATCGTTACTCCTGTAGTTCTGACTTCCTGGCTGGCATACCCCCTGTCCAGGGAAGTAAATACTACAGTTCTTGTCTTTCATAGTCACTTTATCATGATTGATCATAGAAAAAGGTGTGTAATCAATCAAATGCTACCACTTTCCACAGCACAACTAATCCCTTTCATGTGTTTAATAGATACCATAAGAAAGAGGACTCGCTATGTTCTGGAATTTAGTATCATCGTCCGATTCTTCTCTTTGCTAAGCTAAAGGGTATTTGAAATATCAACAAGGAACCATTATGACAGTCGCCGCAAGCATCGTTAGTGACACATAGCAAATTCATAAAAATAGAAAATCATTCTAGGTCAACATTTCTCACGTTTTTTTCTTTTCTCTCCAATATGTTTATTGTGGATTAGTTTTGGTATTGTTTTGTGCAGCTCTAAACGAACACTTTCTATTTCCTTCCGACAAAAGAGCAGTATATTTCCAATTACACAAAGGTTGATACTGTTGTCAATTTCGTCTTTTTACTCCCGGAAACATCAACAACAAGAAATACATGTATATTGATAATGAATAAATATTAACATGATTTCACTAAGAACTCGTTCACTAGGTAGAAGTAAAGTATACAGAAACCAAACACTTTGAAGGTATAGGGTGCGTTATCAAGTTGTCATTTTTACTATTTTGGGTTTGGGTTTGCTACTATACTGTAAGCCAGTTACTGCAAGATTTCCCATCTCGCTGGACTTTTTATGAACTCGTCGTGTCCTAGTTGTGCAATAAATCCTTGTTGTACTCCAAACCAATACAATAGCTTAGCTATACATATGTCAGTCAAACTAACAGTTTGGAACTGTTTCTTGCATGTCACGTGTTCCGAGAGATCAAACGTGATCTAGCTCTCAGTGGAGAACAAACGACCCTAGTATACTTTCTTATTGTGTTTGTTAGCTATTACGTTTGACTCTCGCAAATACTATCACAAACAAATAGAAATCTTCATGTCAATATCAAAGTCTGCTTCTCAAACTTTAACAACACTATTGTATGCATAAATATGAAAGCATCTTATAAATGGCAAATTTTATTTGTATATACGTATATATAGAAGAAGGTTTCTCTTGTGGAAGGTATGATTGAATGCTTTCCAATCGGGACCGTATCACGTGTTTTGACCGTATCACGTGACATAATGCAAGTCTGATGGACGTCCTAACGCAACATAAAATAACGAGTAAACTAACTATGAGTAAAGAAACTTCTAGCAGTATAAAAGGGGTAAACATATTTTGATCTGGTGTGCTCTTTCATTCCCTTTACTAAGTATACAAGTCTGGGATGTCTGCAATTATAATTGGGGGAGAAATGCAGCCTTTCAGAAATACACCATCTACAGCTCGGTTGTAAACGGTTTGGCTGTCCTCATTATTCAGATGTTTAAACACAACAACAAAGTTTTGAATTTTTAAATAAAACATTTTATAAATCATTGGCCTGTCCTGTTATTACATCTAGACACGTTTTGGCCAGCACTGACGTGTCAAAATATGCTAGTTATTTCCCCGGAACATCCATTTACATGATTCATTGAGCTCGTTTTTGTGTTTACATTTAACACTTCCGAAATGCACATGCAAAAGATGCAAGTCTCTCTGGGATAAATCTGTTCAAGACGCAATTGCTAAATGCCAGAACAAACAGCCGGTTAGTTGGGATAAAATATTTAGCAATCTTTCGTCAAAAACAAAAACAAAACAAAAACTCCGAAGAGACCTGAGTTCGTACACGAAAAGAAATCTGTTGAATGCAAGCCTAAATAACTGTTCGGAGAAAAGTGCGATAATGTGCCTTCCTTGATAGCAAATAAACCCTAATTGGTGCAAAGGGCGTTTTCCTATGCAAGATCTAATGACTGTAGAGCTCTATTTCTGTATGCACGCACAGCTTCGTCCTCCTTGGAATACTCCCTGCTTTCTGATCCGAGTGAATTAACAAAACAAATATTCAAGCACAGTTTTAGTTCTTATAAATTGAAATACTTTTTCAAAATCCATTGTGAAGTGCAATTTATCTTGTGACATATTTGTATTTAGGGGTAATGTACAGAGTGGTTTTCATTAAGCTGACATAATGTATAAGGTTGCTCTTGGCATAGCTTCATACAGTATTATTTGACCTATATATTTGACCTATATATTTCTATAATTACGATGTGTTACATTCCAGATGACGTATGTTATGGTGTTCTCGCGAGTACTACCTCAGAAAGGCACGCGTCATCTGTGTATCCTGTCACTGCTCAATTCTCTGTATGGTTGTACGTAAGTATCTAGTTAATAGGTCACCTATATCTGACGTATGAAGAGTTGTGTTACGTCCACGTGACAACCGAGTAATATCTACGATGTGAGATTAAGACAATGTTGTGTACTAAAATTCTCTGTCATGATCAATACGCCCACATTGGGGATATATATATATATATATATATAGAAAAATTCTTAACAACGAGTCTTTTGTACTTTCATCTCTTCTAGGAGATTCTTCAGACTGTTTATTTGAAGTATTCAAATAAACAGTCTTATATAATATTTATATAATATTTATATAATATTTTATATAATATTTCTTCGTCCGTAAGGATTATTTTTCTGCTTTTATAATATATATCGTAATGATCCTTACGGACGAAGAAATATTATAAAAAGAAAAATTCTCAACAACGAGTCTTTAGTACTCTCATCTCTTCTAGGAGATTCTTCAGACTGTATATATATATAGTATTCCTCATTTTTAGTTTTAGTAGAATGTAACATAAATTAAATCACAGTTACATTTCGTTGATTAGGTATTTATAAATAATACGACCAACTCTGAGGGGGGAAACTTCAAAACGTCGAAGTCGACTCAATAAAACTACACTGAAAAATAAATAAAACAAATCAATGTTGGCAATCAGCGAATAAAATATTATTACCATGTTATAGTATTGGCAGAGTGTTTGTAGATAAGGTATGATGTGTACGTTTTTCCTGTATTCTGAATTTCGATTTGACGATTTTTTACTGTTACCATTAGTTTATTTTTTCATTTCAATATAGCCAAGATATAGCCTTTCTCAATATTCAACCAGTTTTCTTGACACTTTGTAAACTTTATCATCATGGCTTCTATTTGACGAGTTACTACGAGTCATTGCTCCCTGTGTACCAAGGCATTTCGGAATTGTCTTGACAAAACATAGCCGCATTATGCATCTTTCAGCTATGTTCTTGCTATATTTATTACAATACTTTCTGGTAAACGCCACTAAGTTTTAAGTTTTCCAGGACATACCTATCTGAACGAGTTTATCGAGAGTTATGGTGGGTTTAACTGACTTGACTGTGTTGGGTAATATTTAGTGTGGTCAGAATGCGGCCATGTGAAGCAAAACGGTACTTCTACTTGGGATTAGTTTTGAAATCCTCTGTGTTTATGTGAAAACCATTTGGATGGTCTAGGTGTATGTGATTCAGCCAGTAGATTGATAAGATGGCAGCATCACACTCATTCTCACTATTTGTTTGATTGGACATGGGTTAATAATAATCAACTCTTAAGTTTGGTTCCGCCAGCAATATTCTGTTCTTGCCAAACATCGTTTCGCTTTTGTGTATCGAGGAATTTTGCAACAGCTGCTAGTACATCCGGACGTCATTGTCATATTCTCCAGAGATGTTCGCTGATACATCCAAGTGCCAAATTAACTGATCCTTTTTTTGAATATGCTAAGGTAATATTTTGGGATCAACTTCAAGTTTTTTGAGAAATTAGTTTAATCTTCCACTATTCTGTACGTTTAGACAGCTAATTATATTAATACACGTACATATTGTCCTTCTTTCTTATAACTTCTTTTTGTGAGTTTTAACAAACATTTGCGCCCAGTGTACCTTTCAGACTAGCTGTAATTACCTTTAAGAGGCTCAATGAATGTGATGAGAATTTCAGAGGTAAGCTGAGATTTATTAATGTACCCATTGACCTTATATACTTCGTCAACACAATACTTCCAAGATTGACATACACATCGTCGTGCTTTTTAGCGTCATTTTTGTCCCCACGATTGGTTCTTGTACATTAAGAATGAAACCGTCCGTCGACACGAGCCTTATTAACAGGAAGACAGCACGTTTTAATGCAATACATATTGGGGAGAATATTTTATGTTTCCTATTATGTACAGCATCAGCAGAGCTTGCAGGATAGGACCTGCTCTCTGGAAGGATATCTGTGTTAATGTGGGTTA